AACCACATTATATATATTATACTATTACTATTATCGTATATGTAATATACCTATATATACATTGTAAAAACATCCCACGTTTTATTAACTTATAAAAATAAATGTTTAACAGAAGTTGGCAAGGAAAATCCTGGTTGTTTTTGACTCTCAGGCAAGAAAAATCTTGGTGATTGCGTACAAAAACTTGCGAAGATTTTAAGGACCAGAATAATAATAATGCGCTCATGTTTCTTTTGAGCAATAACTCATAATTTTATATATAATAAAATATGTACCTCCGATTTATTTTTTGATATTAATTGCTTCTTCTAACCTAACATTAAATATAGAATAAGCCCAGCTAATTCGTGTATTTCAAGAAAGTGCAAAGGTGTTGTGATTTCTTAGAAAAAAAATAAATGAGCCGCATTGACGCTAAATTATTTGTTCATCCAGCCCAGCAAATGGATTGTAAATTCTAGAAAACATAGGTTAAATATATGTCATGTTTTTGCAGGCTGACATATGGGCCAATAGGCCGAAGCCTACGCAAGGCGTTGTCAACTTAGTCAACAAATGATTCAGACATTCACAGCCATTGGATTTATATCCAACGACCAGCATGCACCTTCAATCTCTCGTCTTCTTCCTCCAGCATCGCCGAGACCGCCTGCTCCGGCCTCCGGCGGCTAGCGGCTCTGCTTAATACGCATCATTGTGAAGCGCTACCCCACCGCCGGCCAGCCTATCCCCCCACCCCTCCATAGCTCCTTTTATTCTCCACCGACTGCAGCCCCACGCCGCACCAGGACCAGTTATAACCCTTATACTCCTCTTCATTTGTGACTCCACTGTCACGTCCCCCCATTTCCGGGTCGTTCTCGTCCGGGGCCTCGCCTTCGTCCACCGCCTTGTTGCGCTCGCCGCGGTGTGGTCAACAAACGAGGGTCATCGAAAGAGAATTGTACATGGAAAGCCTGATAGTTGGGACCCATGAGGTCTATGGTCGCACGCAAGGAAAGTTCCTTCTTATTAAGCTAAAAATAGTTTCCTCCCCCTGATAGCTGGGACCCACCAACTACATCTCCGCATGCAAGGAAGTGCCTCCTTATTACACGAAAAAAAAATTCCTCCCCCTAACAGCTGGGACCCACCAGCTACATCTTCGCACGCAAGGAAGTGCCTCCTTATTACACGGAAAAAAAATAATTCCTCTCCCTGACAGTTAGGACCCAACAGCTATATCTTCGCATACAAAAAGTGCATCATTATCCTCCCTGGCAGCTAGGACCCACCCGATCAAAGCGTACGTAGTGTTGTCTGTCTTGTCGCAAACGTGTACGTACATACTGGTCGATCGGTCTCTCTGCAATGATGAACCATGGCCGAGTAAGTAGCGACACATGTCATAGTAGAGCCCCCGACATAGCAGTTCAGGTTGTCCCGTCTAAATTGTGTACACGTACATACAACCACATGCCAAAAAAATACGGCCACGTACGTACATATGGGCGGGGTCTCGAAATGCGTACTCGCGCATACGGACGACCAAGTCTCGTGTACATGGAGAGGCAATGGACGACAGCGACTCGTCCCGTTCATCGGTAGCTAACCGTCTGGGTCAGAACGGAGGAAACAACATCGTGTTCACCGGGAGCCAAGTGACTGGGTCGGAACGCGTCCTGTTCATTGGGAGCGAAGCCACTGGGCCGAAACGTGTCCTATTCATCGGGAGCCAACCAGCTTGGACGGAATAGCCGGAACGAGGTTTGGCATACCTCAAAATGGAGGAAAACGGCTTTCTATTCGACCGCGTACGGTCGAAACAGGGTCCTGCTCATAGGGAGCGGTCTGGCGTACCGCAGAACGGAGGAAACAACCTTCTGTTCAGGTGCCTACGGTCGAAACGGGGTCCTGTTGATCGGGAGGGGTGTGGCATATCGCAAAACGGAGTAAACGGACTTGTGTTGGAGCGCCTACGATCGAAACGGTGTCCTGTTCATCAGGAGGGGTGTGGCGTACCGCAAAACGGGACTCCACGGGCTACTTTTCATCCACCGTCTACTGCCTCGCTCCAGCTTCCATGGGCTACTGTTCATCCACCGTTGACTTCCTCCAGCCTCCACCTACTACTGTTCATCCACCGCGACATTCCTTCTGCCTCCATGGGCTACTGCTCATCCAGTCTCGACCGGCTACTATTTAACCAGCCCTCCACGGGGTCCTGTTCATCCATCCACAACCGGTTTGGGTGTGGCGGCCTCCTCGATCGGGGTCTTGTTCATCAAGCGGCAACGGCCTACTACTACCACGGGGTCCTGTTCATCTAACCCACACTGGGAACTGTTCATCCAACTGCCAACAACGACCATTGGTAATCAAGAGGCAGCTGGTTCGATCGGCTTCAGTTAGAAGCAGTGGCGAAGTAATCGCTCGGGTCCAGTTAACAGCCAAGGGATCGTTTTCTCGGGTTTAGTACCGTAGCTAGTGCAATCGCTCGGGTTCAGTAAGCGAACGCCTCGCTCGGGTTCAGTTAGAGCCCAATGCCTTGCACACACGCACGTACGGAGAGAAATGCGCCAACCTCCGTGCATCGCTCAGCCCCGACCACCCACCGTAACTGGGAACTCCTCGAAATTTTCCTCGCCCTCGCTTCTACCATAATTTTTTTCGTCATGGACGACCCAAAGAATGTCATGCAGGTGCGTCCCCGGCCCATCCAGGATGAAAAACCCATTTTTGTCATGATTTTTTGTTATAGAAGTAGGAGTCATCACATCTATGATGATACGTGTTTTGTCATAATTATCGTCATAGAAGTGTCATAAGCATGGCATAATTATTTTTCTCGTTCGGCCCATTAATATCACAGATGTGTATTTCTTTTGTAGTGTGTGCCTCTAACGGGGCTAGTGAGGTTGCCAATCTCACTAGCTATGCTAGTTACAAAAGGAATTAAAATGCAAGTGTGGAAAGAGTTGGTGGAAATAAGCAAGAAAGTAAAAACAAGGAATTGAAAGAATGATGATTGGAGGTTAAAACTTCATGTAAGAAAATGGGCAGGGGTCCATAGGTTCACTAGAGGTCTCTCTCATAAGGAAAACATGGTTTGATAAAGAAATCACAGATTAGAAGCTATTAAATTGCAATGTTTATGAGTATTTATATTCATGGCATAACCTTTAGTATCTATATCTTGAGTATTTTGAACTTTTCCCACCCATCACTGGTATTTTTTGCAACAATTTCCTTGAAAACCATCTTAACCTTTCACCTTTTATTGAATTACCAAATAAAATTATGCTTTCTTTGATCAACCAATAAATTCTCATCAATAAAATCTTAAAATTTATGTAGGTAGGTAAATCATGAACAAGATATTTTAAACATTTATTTACGCAACGTCATTAATATGGGTATGTAATCTCCGTCTCTTATACTACTTTGAATTAAACTAAAAAGATGTAAAGTTCTATTTTCTCCCGGCAGAACACTTCGCCTAAACTCACATAAGTCTCGTCTTCCTCTCTATTTTAATTTTTTGTTCACATTCCCATGTCTTTTTCAACAATTTCCCCAAGAACCGCCTTATGTTTTATTTGGTAAGCCAATAAGTTCATGACAAATAAAATTCTAAAATTTATTTAGGTGGATAAATCACAAAGTTTTGATAAACATTTATTTACACGACTACAAGTGTGGGTAGATAAATCACAAGATAACATATTACAATATGTAATATCCATCTCAAAAAATATATTTATATCCCGTTGCAAAGACAATTATCCAACTATTGTAAAACCACTAATCGAAGTGTTCCTTTTCCCTAGCGGCGGATAGGGTTTACAACACTCCTCCATGCATCACCAGCGAGCCAGTAGATTCGCCTTCCCTCTGCCCGTCGCTCTAGTATTTTTGAACATACGAACGACCAGTTGTTTAGGTTGTCATTACCAGCGAGCCAGAAGAGAATCCCGGTGCCTCCGCTTTAGCTAGTTGTTTAGGTTGGGTTTTTAGTCCTCGCGGGACGCCGTTCAAGCGGATGGCGGTGCTTCTTCATCGACTTGGTCTTTCGGGCGTCAATCCTCCTGGATTTTGTCCATCTAGACAGAGTAAACAGAGCTCCGTCGTAGATTCCTGCCATCTCCTTGGGGCGGTGAGGTTAGAGGTTAGGGTTTCTTGACGTGCGTGTGCGACGATGAGTTATGATGTCAATCACTTTAGATCGATTTAAGGGTTCAACAATGACGATTGCGGCTCTAGAGCGCTGGTACTTAAGGACACGTGCATGAAGACTTTCCCGATTGTCATCGATAAGGTCAGACCGACTCCGATAGGGGAGTGGCGACAATGGTGCGTCAGCGGCTCGTTCTGGCAATAGTTTTGATTGTTTGATGGTCTAAGTATCTCGATGTAATTTTATTATGTTTGGAATGACTTTTTTTCCTTAAAAAGATACTCCCTCCGTAAACTAATATAAAAGCGTTTAGATCACTAAAGTAGTAATCTAAACGCTTTTATATTAGTTTACGTTTAGTGATCTAAACACTTTTATATTAGTTTACAGAGGGAGTACTAACTTGCCAAGCTGACCGCTTGGTATGCATAATTGTTGTTTTTTAAGCTGCACGCAAACCTCAAAACGCAAAATCCAAGAAATAGGCGTGTAGGATGAAATCAATCAAGGCCATCCAATCGACCACGGGCTCACGAAACGTGATCCCTGCCGCCCTCGAACCACCTCACCGTGCTCCTCTTCACCTCTTCCGGCCCAAAGCCCCAGCGCCGCCGAAACCCCTCCTGCGCCCCCTTCTCGCACCGGAGCACGCCTCGAAGCCCCCCCACTGCACTGGGCGTGGAGTCGAGATCCGCCCGCCGCGATTCTTACACTCTTCTCCGTCTTGCCCTGGTCTTTTCCTCGCTGCGAGCAATCGAATCCAACAGATCTTTCTTCTTCTCGTGTAAGATCGATCCGAGTCTGCCTACGTGGGGAGCAAGGTGCGTACCTCGCAAGGTGAAAGATGGGTATCCTCGAGAGGATCAAGGAGATTGAGGCCGAGATGGCCCGGACGCAGAAGAACAAAGCAACAGGTTGTGTTGCCTTCATTGCCCCTTGAAATCACTACCGCGGGATTATTGCTCATCACTGCCTACTGTTTGTTCTTTTCTACTCTACTGTGCCACTTTATCTAGTGATGAAATATAAGCTGGGGAGGGGATTCTGGTGGAAGTGAAATGGATGTATTCTGGTTTCGGCCTTTCTTGGATTATCAATTTCTACTTTGCTCATGCTTTCTATGTTTTCGTACCTCTGTTAGAAAATTTAGACAGACATTTTGTTCTTTAGCTATAATCTGTGATCACATGGCCGTTCATTGTCCTAGACGTATAAGTAAATCGGACAGTTTGTATACTCATTGTGCATCCACTGGTGGATTTATGATAATTCTAAAATTTCCAGACAAATGGTTTTCCCACAGGGGCCTGCACATCTATGTAATTCATGATTACTGGATCAAGAACAATCCTTTTCCGTCCTTATGTTCTTTTTAGTTCAAATCAACCAATTGTTTCATGTCTATCCATCTTTATGCATTTTGGTATGAACACTTTCCATACTGTTACAAACAGGTATGTATTTTGCAAAAATATGCACAACATGCAAGGGAATTTGTTGCAGAGAAAAACCTCTAGTTAGCAAGAAAAACCTCTAATTCTCAAAAATATTTCGCCAAGACTGCTAGTCAGATCAACAGCCAGAAAAATTGTAGAGAAAAACAAATTAGCAAGGAACTGTATGTGCATTTATATGTATGCACAATTTGTGCCTTTCAGTCTGTAACCTCTAAGTTTTTCTTGACAATTAACAATGTTTTTAAGGCGGTAAGGCGAGGCAAGGCACTGTAGCACCGACTCACCTTTTGCAAGCTTGAAGCATAAGGCGAGGCGATGCGTTAGACACATAAATATATAATATATGACAGCGAATTAGGAGATTCAACAACTAGCGTTAACATAAATGCACCACAAGTTTCATAACATGATGGCTGTATGCAAAGCACAGGCCCCAAATCATCTTGTGTAGATGAGGGAATGATGCCTCTGAACTTGAGCTTCACCCCCCTCATCTATACATCGCTACATAGCTTTAATTTTTCTGTGTTTAAGAAGCAGTGCATCTCTTTACTAATTTTCACGGGTGCCTTGGGACACTTATCCACATCACTGAAACCCTGCTGCTTCAGCCTTCTCACTCCACATGGACTACGTACACCGGAGTAAAATTTTCCTCTCTAAAGCTGGCCAGAACACATATTTCCAAGTTGGGTTGCGCCTTCTGTGCCTAAGATACGTCCAGACGCCTCAGAGCTCTAAGGCGGACGCCTTTCAAACCTACCAAAGGCGAGCTCGGCGCCATGCTGTCGGAGGGCGCCCTGTCGCCTAAGTGACGCCTGAAAAACAATGATAATTAATTTTCTATCAACGAGTATTTGTGGTTTATCCTTATTTTGCAACGGGTCATTGTGGTATGCTACGTGATATACTAAAGGCTGTTTTCTGGTTCTAGAGACTAACTTAAGTTTTTATTGTCACACAGAATATCATCTTGGACAACTGAAGGCAAAAATTGCAAAACTGAGGACACAGTTATTAGAGCCTCCAAAGGTACTTCTAATTTATGGTGCTGCACAATTTAGATGATCATACATAACTATTGTTTTGTTTTTTCCTAGTCAATCTGTACTAAATTCTTTTACTCCCTTTAACTTAAAAGATTCTAGTAACAGCAGCCGTCTCATGTTGTTGATATAGGGTGCCAGTGCTGGAGGAGATGGTTTTGAGGTCACAAAGTTCGGGCACGGTCGTGTTGCGCTTATAGGGTTTCCCAGGTTCTTTCTTATGCCTACAAACTGAGTACTGTTTCGTGGGTTCTCAAGCGTTTTGGTTTGTAGCACTAGATTGTTAATTCTTGTGCTATTTTATAATAGGAAGAATGTTCTGTCTTCCAGATGTATCATGTGCTGTGCTTGTATTTGACCCATGTCTCTCTGTCAATCTAATTCAACCATCGGGTTGGATAAAATGGAGATGTGATATCTGAATTATCTGATGACCCAACTCATGTGTAATACTTGTGCCTCTACCTTTTTCCCTTGGAAAAAAAATGCTATAACTTATACCTACTTCCTTTTACCTAATATTAATCTCCTGCCCTTTTCTACGTGGTTACTAACTTAAGCTAAAAGTTCCTGTTTGTATTGCTATGCATACAAGGTTCGATCTAGTTATCTACTTAGGTATGTCATTATGACTCACACGAGTTTCATATTGCAGTGTTGGAAAGTCAACTCTTTTAACTATGCTGACCGGGACACATTCTGAAGCTGCATCATATGAGTTCACAACCCTCACTTGCATTCCTGGTATTATCCATTACAATGACACCAAAATCCAGCTTCTTGATCTTCCCGGTATCATTGAAGGCGCCTCTGAAGGCAAGGGGCGTGGTAGGCAGGTAAATACTGTTGGTTTAATTATAAGGATAATTCACTTGGTGATATTACTTTGATTTTACATTGTTGTTGCTGCTTTCAGGTTATCGCTGTCGCCAAGTCATCGGATCTCGTGCTTATGGTTCTTGACGCCTCAAAAGTAAGTAGTGCATCTTTACCCAACTCAAGTCACAAGCTTTGCTTCATTGCTTGGACATCCCTGTTTGCTCAATTTTCACAAGACATGATTTTAAGCATAATCAATACTTTATGATTAGAGACAAGGGGGAACTAAGGCAATGGAAACATGTCCTGGACTCTAGGTTCTTTGGGTAGCGTGCTTCCTATTTTAACGACATAATAGGCTATTCTGGCCCCCATAACTTGGATCTCGTTCACAAGAGCAGCCGGAATGTCACCTTTTTCATGGTAGAATGCTTCAACTATGAATGTTCTCACCTAATCCCTTCAACACCATGTTATAAAATTATCTTATTCATGGGGAAACTTTTAGGCTGCAGAAATTGAAGGCAGATGATCAGAAGGAAAAATTAGAGACAAAATAAAGAAAGCAGTTTTAAAAAAGGATGGCTTGGAAAATAATAGTCCTCCCCACTTGTGCCAAGAGGTCCTGGGTTCGAACCAGCCTCTCTGCATTGCACTTTGCAGGGGTAAGACTAGGTTCCTATAATCCCTCCCCAGACCCCACCTTGTGTGGGAGCTTCTATGCACTGGGTCTGTCCTTTATGGCTTGGAAAATAAGAGAAAAATGAGTGTCGTCTTAAGAGAAATTACACTGGAGCTCTCTACACTCGTCACTTTCTTACTTTGCTCCCTTAACTTTTCTCTGTTCCTCACATGGCTCCTTTTCACCGTTAGACTAACTTAAATGGCCATGTGAGAAACAGAGACAACCGACAAGTAGGGAGACCTAAGGAAGAAAACAAGTTGTGGGGAGCAAGTGAGAAGGTGGCGATAATTTAGGAAGTTCTAACGCTATTTCCATTATGATAATGTTGAAGAGAAAGTATGGTATTGCTAGCAGAGGACCTGGCTGGTTAATATTAATACTATCCTTTTTCACCTAATGTTGTATGGTAATTGAGATACATGTTCTCAAATCTGCTGACATATTGCTAAACTGTTGAAGAGATAAATGTATGCCATATTTATACTTTAAGTTAATGGTATGGCTGCTTGAAACTTCTCAAGGATGAAGGGTTGTGGTGTGTATGTTATTTAAAAAATGATATGAAATAAGAAGAATTATTTACATGCAATCTTCCCCTTCTTATACATGATGATTGCACATGGCCGGGCATTACCCGAGTTCTACTTGCTTATTGGATTCATGCTATAATTTTTTTCAGAGTGAAGGGCATCGCCAAATATTAACTAGAGAACTGGAAGCTGTTGGCCTCCGTCTGAACAAAAGGCCTCCTCAGGTATACATTTCTTTAGTCACTTGGTGTGAACTGCGAACTAGACAAATCCAAATGGACATAAGACAACTATATAGAAGACCTACTGTATGGCTTAAGTCAATGTCCACATACATCTGACTATCTGCCTGGATGTGTAGTTGTGCCAATCTAAAACTGAATCAGCTCCTTTTTTTTTGTGTGTGTGCTGGGAAAGTATTGCCAAGTACAATGTTCAAAGAATGCACAAAGTTCATCTGGCCAACACACACCACATGACAGTGTGTGTGTGTTATTATTAATTAGGATTTTTATCATTTATGCCACTAGCTGTGTCTCACTACTCAACTTTGCCACTAGAAGTTTCAACTGCTCAAAAATGCCATCGCTCCATTAGGCGCTTGCTCAAAAATGCCATTAGACACCATTACAGTCAGCTGAAAGCACATTTACCATTTTATATGACCAATACACATCCACCCACATGTCAGCTCTCCCTCTATCTCACTATGATTAAGTGTGGGTCCCATTTGATCCCCAATAGCGTTCTTATTTCCTCCTAAAAGTATTTGCTTGCTTACTCCTGAATAGTTAGGCCCACACTTATCATTGTGAGATAGATGGAGCTGACATGCAGATCTAGAGGTATTTTCATCATATAACATGGTCAACAGGTTTGACCTGATAGTAACCGCGTCTAATGGCATTTTTGAGCGAACATCTAACGGTGCGATGGCCTTTTTTAGGTCTCTAATGGCATTTTTGAGCAAGTATTTTATAAACTGATGGCATTTTTGAGCAGTTGTAAATTCTAATGGCAAAACTGAGTAGTGTGACACAACTAGTGGCACAAATGATAAAAACCCTATTAATTATGTACAGCATTCATAATAAATTTGGTTGGACTGTGGAGATGAAGGGAGAATGGGCTAAAAAACGGTTAGCATAGTATGGCGAGTTATCGATGTTCTAAATCACCTTTTTGTGAAGAACCGAGCATCCATCACAATTGATGAAGTTTGTGGTACTTTTAGGGTTTGTAACGGACAAGTGCTGACCTGAACTATGTGACTCATCCAACCAGCTCTATGAGTTAGTCGTACTACATGTCTTATGGTGCTGTCCTAAATTGCTGGTTTCTATTATACATTCTGTTGATTACGAGGAAGTTGATATATGTGCATTTGTTATTTATACATGTTTTTCTTGGTTGATTTTAATCACTTTTTTGTGTGTACAAATAGATATACTTCAAGAGGAAGAAGACTGGTGGGATTTCTTTCAACAGCACAGCACCTTTAACTCATATTGATGAGAAGCTCTGCTATCAGATACTGCATGAGTACAAAATTCATAATGCAGAGGTGCATGCCGGTGTGTGTTAGTGGTGTTATGTGTGCACCTTTTCAATTTTAACTCATTACTTTAATTTACTTGTAGGTATTATTCCGTGAGGATTCTACTGTGGATGATCTGATTGATGTGATTGAAGGAAATCGGAAGTACATCAAGTGTGTTTATGTATATAATAAGATTGATGTTGTGGGTATTGATGATGTGGATAATCTTGCTCGGCAACCAAATTCACTTGTTATCAGCTGCAATTTGCAGGTATGTTTCCTCCTTGATTATTTGTGGGGTGTCAAAAGTTAAAAAATTGATGTCCAGGATAATTGAAATTGGTGTTTGCTAGTGTACTCCCTCCGTTCCCAAATATAAGTCTTTTTAGAGATTTCAACAAGGGACTACATACAGAGCAAAATGAGTGCATCTACACTCTAAAATATGTCTATATACATCTGTATGCTGTAGTCCATTTGAAACCTCTAAAAAGACTTGTATTTAGGAACGGAGGGAGTAGATGTTACAGTAAGTTGTTTGTTTCACATTTTTGTTTGTTAAAAAAGTGAAACTAGTCGTTCTTTTTTGCAGTTGAACTTGGACAGGCTATTAGCAAGAATGTGGGAGGAAATGGGTCTGGTGAGAGTGTATACAAAGCCGCAGGGTCAGCAGCCCGATTTCGGAGATCCAGTGGTTCTTTCTAGTGTATGTTTGCTCTCTCTCTCTCTCTCTCTCTCTCTCTCTCTCTCTCTCTGTCATGCCATGCATGCTTGCACTGAAATGGGTCTGATGGTTGTGGTATTCTTGTGTTGGCATGAATGAATCAGGATAGGGGCGGTTGCACAGTTGAAGACTTCTGTAATCACATCCACAGGAGCTTACTCAAGGATGTGAAATATGTGCTCGTGTGGGGAACGAGTGCTCGGCACTATCCACAGCATTGTGGTCTTGGCCATGGTCTTGAAGACGAGGATGTGGTCCAGATAGTGAAGAAGAAGGTCGGTTCCCTTATTTTTTCTTTCTTATAGCTCAATAATCACATCCTTGAAAACATTACAAGATGCTAACCCTCCCTGTGGATGTGCAACAACTTGGATTGATTCAGGAAAAAGAGGAGGGCGGACGAGGCCGTTTCAAGTCGCACACCAATGCACCTGACCGAATCTCCGACAGGGTGAAGAAAGCTCCTCTCAAGACATGATCCCATCGCCGATTTGGAACTAGCTGAGCCAGATGCTATTTCGGGCGACCATCAAGCCTGGCATCTCCGCACAATCATATGACAAATGTTGCTTTTATCCAGATAGTATATGTGCTCTCATGCTGTATAAGATGAGGCAGGCTTGTGTACACGCAGTGAGTGTTTTTGCCAGCAAACTTTGCAAATGAGTTAGTTACAGATGCCACCTCTTGTTATCGTACTGTGTTTGGAACATTAATTAATTAATGGATTCCACTACAAATCTGATTTGAAGTTATGTTCTCGCAAGGAATTGCAATTGCCAACAACATAATTCGCCACCCCGAAGATTTGTCATGGTTAAAAATCTGACGATAGATTTTTAACATCTCCGTTAATTAATGTATATATGCTCTTTTCCACATTATTAATTACAGTACTGGACAAGGAAAAACTGGCTCAAGTGCTCACACAGCACGCGTGTCGAGAGGCTATTGGCGCGGCCAGCGCTTTGGACGTCATCACGAAGGAGCTAATTTGTTATGCTCACGCCACCCGTTATGGACCAGCGGGTCCAAATCTCCGACCCGTAAACCGCTCGCTCGCCCCCCCGCCTCCCGTTCTCTTGCCGGCGATGACGCCGCCGGCGGCGGCCTCGCCGGGGCGGAAGTCTCCGGCCGCGGTCCTCTTCCTCTGCGTGGTCACTATCTCATTACTCATGTTCATACTCCTTGTCTCCTACACCCCCCGCCTCCAGCCCCACGGTCGCAGCCCCCACCGCCGCCTCAAGCTCCACCCCAAGAACTCCGCCGCCGTCGCTTCTTCCTACGGGGCCGGCGCCGTCCACGATTCCGGAGGAAACCGCCACGCGGCGCCCTTCGACCCGGCCATCGCCGAGCTGGAGCGGCGGCTGGAGGACAAGGAGTGGGAGCGCGAGCACTACCGCATCCTCCATGGCGACGCCGAGAAGGACGACCACATGAAGGAGTGGGAGGAGTTCCTCAGGGAGGAAGAGGACTTCATCAACGACGACGATCGCTTCAACGTGTCCGACCGCATCCGCGCGCTGTTCCCCAAGATCGACCTCACCCCCAAGGACGGCTTCGTCTCCCTCGATGAGCTCATCAGGTGGAACCTCGATCAGGCCAGGGCCGACCAGCTCCACCGCTCCGCCAGGGAGATGGAGCTCTACGACAAGAACGGCAACGGGATCGTCTCCTTCACTACTTTCCGGGCGCTGCGCCAACAGTCCCATGGTACAACTCTTCCCCGCATTTTCTTCTTCTTTGCACATGAATGAACTCAGCCAGCCAAAAAAAAGAAAAGAAAATCATCATGGAATAATATAATGCGGAATGAACTTACTAGCTAATGATTTGCAGGGGATGGCAACTCACTGGGGTTCCCGTGGTGGAAAGAGGAGCACTTCAATGCTTCGGACGTCAACGGGGATGGTTTCCTCAATAAAACTGAGTTTCACGAGTACGCGTTCATTTCAGTGTACAAAACATCATGTGGTTCTTGATTGTATATTAATACTTTCTGTATTTCTTTACTGCAGCTTTCTTAATCCAAGTGATTCGGAGAATCCTAAAATTGTCAACTTGCTCTGCAGACAAGAATTAAGGTAAATTCTTCCTTTTCCGCGGTCCTGATTTCCTACTGCAGATTAAAGCAGACACGTATGCGGACTTGGGTTTAAACTTGAACCTACTGCAGACGACTAGTACTTGGTACTTAGCTGGTAGTCCTGATTTCCTGCTAGTACCTTAATGCGGATTAAAGCAGCAAAATTTTACAATGCTAATCTTTATAGAGTACATGATTCTACATCGTTCATTGGATGGTCTAACAGTTCAATATGGAGGGGTTGCTTGGTTCGCAGTCACTGATAGGTGAACAGTGTCCTCCCCAAAATTTTCTACCATTGGTCATGCCTCATGAATATCCTGATATCCTGTGTGTGTGTCTGTCAGACCTGATGCACTTTTTGTCACTCAATTAAGTCATTTGTGAGATAATTGGAAATAGATCTCCCTACTGCGTGCCTCTTTAGGTGTCACAACAAAAACCTATCTTTCTAAATTAAGTGCAAAAGAAGCTACATTGTAGACCTATAAGCACACACCACCTCATCGTATTACAATAGTCACCCTGTGAAGAAGTTAAAACCACATCAAGTTCGAGCAGTTGGAAGTAACATCCCAGAGCGTTGTGTTTTGCTAGGTCAAAAGACTAAAGAACCTATTGAATGGGCATATACATATTTTCTTTTTTTGTCTGGAATGCTGTGAATTTTGTATCACAAAATGTTTTTCTGGAGGTGAATATTCCTTCCATTATTTCATTATCTACCTATATTATATGAGAGCACTCACAGTTCCTTGTGTTGCCCATATGCCATGTCCAGGCAGAGAGATAAAGATGGTGATGGAAAGTTAAACTTTGAAGAATACTTTCATGGGCTACATGACCATATACATGGTTATGATGATGAGAATGCAGCTATTTCTCATATTGGGAACATGACAATTGCAAAGGAGCGGTTTTCCAAGCTTGACAAAGATAATGACGGGTACATAATTGGAGCTTTGATTTAGGACTTCCAGTCATGAAATTTCTCATATGACCAACTTCCTTTTTATGCATTTGAACTTTTCTTATGTAGGTTCATTTCAGAGCATGAACTAGAACCTGTTCTTGATAAGCTCCATCTGTCAGAACACTATTATGCCAGACAGCAAGCCACACATGCTATTTCAGAGGTTTGATCCGCACCCCCCTGGAGTTTTTTTTACTTAATTTTCTCTTATTAATTGAGACCTTAGAATAGCGCGAGGTTCTGTTTATTATGTATATGTTGCGTAAGATAATCGTAGAAGAATTCAAGGTACGTTAGCATGCTGCTGTTATGTCTATGTGCATAATGAAAATGATGCTAAAGGGACTGAAGTTCTTCGAAATGCTAATTTGTTAGTTCAGGATTTATACTTATATGGTGAAGCAGCTATTTGTTTTCTCATATCTTATTTTTTGCCATTATCCTTGATACATGGTCAAGCAAAAGGGCAATTGTACTTCAGCTTATGAGCAAACATGTGTGGGGTCTCTTTTGTCCTTGATTTGATTTGCTTTTTCCAAAAAAAATTAGGCAGACAAAGATCATGATGGAAGACTAACACTGGAAGAGATGATCGAGAACCCCTATGCATTTTATGGTAGTGTTTACTTCAGCGATGACGAGGACTACTTCCATGAAGAGTTCCGTTAAGGCATCTGCAGGTAACTGCACCCATCTGTTTCCTAGCCGTGCAGTTCACCTGCCTGTCACTGCTTTCCTGGGCACCGCAACTAAAATTATCTTTTCTTTTCGCAGATCATAGGCATCCTAACCATGAAATGTGACAGGCAATCTAGCAGGAAGGATTCCGAGTGCATCATTACTAACCAAAATGTTGTGTGAATACTCGCAAGAATCAGCGTGCCACGGTATCTTATCTCTGTACCCTTACCGTGCCTTGGCATCGCCTGTATCTGGACAGCACACAGCTTAGAGTTGGCATGGCGTGACACGGGGGGATCAGGTGCTGCTTTGATTCTCTGAATTGTTTAGTGAAATGAAATGGCATCTTACTGGTGAGATAGGAGTCCAGTCCACATGCCAGGTTAGTTTAGATTAAGCTGAGCTGGCACCGTCTCAGTTTTGTAAAACGCACGGAACACTGGTGGTGAAGAATGAGAAAATTAACACTTGGCAGTGATGAGCAGACGCAAGTTCGATAATACACACTGCTGTTTCGTTCTGTGAAATGAATCTGATCAGCTGTTTGCTCTCCTGATCCGTCTTGCCTATGTTTCAAGGAAAAAGTATGATAATTCTTGCTGTGTCTATTAATGCAAAACAAAGATGCTCTTAATATTCTCTATGATATAGGATTAGGACAGGTGAAGGATGTTTCGGCACTTCCTGAGATGTTCATGAATTGTTTCCTGCTATGCTCTATGGTTATGTATAAGGTGCTGTACTGTTACATATTTCAAACTTCATTCATAGGCGCTGCTCCACTTTTGCAAGGGAAATTTTATGTCGACTAGCAAACATGTCTGTGGGTTGTAATGGAAGGAAAAAAAGATCACACCTCCAATTTGTCTCATTGATCATCCTCTTTCCCACCTTGCCGATGATGGCCGCGTTGCCCACTCAATTGTACAGGGCCCGAACGCGGTCAATCCCAAGGCAATGAGCTCGGCCACCGAACGACATACTGGGGTCACTAGACCGGGCCAATCGTAAGTGGATGTTTATTTTTTTAAACTAATCATGTTTATTGAGTATATGTGTTGTGCATCGTAGAGTACGTAATGGGTCTAATGGACCCATTAGTCTTAGAGTTAATTAGAGATAAGGGTCGCTTGCTTAGGGGTCAAGTAAGCCTTGCTTGGGAGTCAAGTAAACCTCTCTATTAAAAAGAGGAGATGTATCAATTTAATCAAGCAAGAATTAAGAAAAAAATCCCTTCCCTCTTGCCCGGCCGTGGGCAGAAAGGCCCCCGGCCGGCCCTCTCGCGCCCTCTTTCGAGCAGCACCATAATGATTTGGTATCAGCTAGCTTCGGTTCGATCATGTCTTCACCGCTGCCAAGCCTGTCTCTTCCGCTGCCGGTCACCTTGTCGCCTCCGGCAACCACCACGACCGTCATCCCGCTCCTGCCCGCGTCGGGATCCTCTGTCACGCCCGCCCCCACCGTCCTCACCTGGGAGAAGGTGTCCGGGGGTGCTGCGGGACCTAACCCAGGCGGTCCAGGAGATCCACCTGTTCTTGGCCGGGTCCTACGGGCCGCACTCGGTTGCGCCGCCCATCGTCGCCCGCCCGCCCCCGCGCCGCCGTGGCTGCCGTGGCAGCCGCCGCACCAGGCGGTCTTCGCTGCGCTCGCCGGGCCGCTGCAGCAGCCGTTGTAGCTGCCATCCATCGCCTCCACCGCCCAGCCCTGGCTGCAGTGGCAGCCGCCGCTCCTGGCGGCCTCCGCCGCGCCCGGCGCTCCGCCGCAGCAACCGTTGCCGCTGCCCGGCGCGACAGCTCAGCAGCCGCTGCAGCTGCAGCAGCCACCGCCGGTAAGCTCCGCCGCCCAGTATGGGATGCCCTACGACGGGAGTGCGACGACCTCGTTCCCATCAGCGCCGCCGCCATCACAGGGCGTCCACATCCAGCAGATCAAGTCCCTGCCGTCGCCGTCACCGCTTCCGTCTTGGATCTTGGGCATGCGGTTTCCCCTACGGGCGGCTGGCATGCTATTTTCCCCGCGGGTGCCGACCTCAAAGTCTGCAACATCGGCGGTTGGGGGGGGCGCACCCCTCCTCGTCATTCTCCATCGCAAGCCCTCCACTCTTCCCTATGTGGTGCAGACCAACAGCCATACACATGCACTCCTTTTGTCCAGGTGGCTGTACACGTGCACGTCCAAAATAAAGCGTCCTAGTCTATTTCAGGTTGAGAATAATTAAAACAAGCCGAGATGTAAAAGGCTTGTTTTTTAGGTGTTAGGTTTGTGTTGCGTCGAGTTATGGTTATAAGTTGGTTAGGCTGCAGCTCGAGGACAAGCTGCATGTCCAGGTGGGGTGTAGTGTTAGAGTACGTAATGGGCCTAATGGGCCCATTAGTCTTAGGATTAATTAGAGATAAGGGTCGCTTGCTTAGGGGTTAAGAAACCTTGCTTGGGAGTCAAGTAAACCTCTCTATATAAAGAGAGGAGATATATCAATCTAATCAAGCAAGAATTAAGAAGGAAATCCCTTCCCTCTTGCCCGGCCGTGGGCAGAAAGGCCCCCGGCCGGCCCTCTCGCGCCCTCCTTCGAGCAGCACCATAACATGCATATCTATGTATTGGGCTCACCTCCTAGTTCCTTGTATAGTTGAGGTTGTGGCCTACCTTTGTATATCATATATACGTGTCTTTGCACATGAGCAATACATCGTGCAGTTCCCACAATATACATGATATCAGTTTTCTTTCCTTGCTTCCGCTCCGCCGCCGAGCGTCTACCCGCGCCGCCGCCGCCGCCGCTCCAAGTCGTCGCCGCCACTCCAGGCTGCCGCCGCCCGCGACCCTCCCGATCGCGCAAGCCGCCGCCGCTCCACCCGCATCCGCTAACCCTAGCCGTTGCACCGAACTCCAACCGCCGCTGCCGCTTCCCCCAGCCACCGCCACACCACCACCCGAGCCACCCGCCCGACCCGAGCTGACCAGCCGTCCGCCCGACCCGAGCCGACCTGCCATCCGCCCGACCCGAGCCTCTCCGCCGCTGCTGCCTACTACCCAACCCTAGCCGCACCACCTCATGCCGCCATGTCGTCTGTCACGTCATTCGCGTCCACCAACTCCAACCCGTTCGCCGACGCCAACCCTCCCGACGTCAATGACATCCGCAACCTCAACATCTTCGAGAGGGTGCCGGTTCGTGTCTCCCAGATGGACTCCTCCTACTACATGTGGAAGACGTACTTCTCCCTCACGTTTCAGGAGTACCACCTAGTCGACCATGTGGACGGCTCCGTCGACTCCAGCCTTGTCCCCGAGTTCCATGATTGGTCTACCATCGACACCACGATCACCCGGTGGTTCTTCCTCACCATCTCACCGGACCTCTTTCAGACGGTCGTGCAGGACGGTGATGATGCATGTGCCGTGTGGACCAAGCTGAACAGGCTCTTCACCGACAACCAACTCCAATGTCGCTTTTTTTGCAGCAAGAGTTTTTTGGGTGCCACCAGGACAACTCCTCCGTCGATGATTATTGTTGCCGCCTCAAGACTCTCGCTGACGAGCTCCGCGACATTGGTGCGAAGATCGAGGATGACCTCTTCCTCAGCACGCTCACCACCGGGCTCAACGAGGACTTCGGCAACGCCGCGACGAACCTCACCCTCATCCCCAACCCGTCCTTCGCCAAGTTCGTTGCGTACCTCCGCTTGGAGGACCGGCGGATGAAGTAGGTAAAGGCGTGGGCCATCCACACCATCCTTGTCGTCAGCACCACCCGCGGCAGGCCCCTGACGCCTCCCACTGCCCCGGTGCCCCAGTAGCCGCCGCGCCACCAGACGCCTTATCCGGCCCCGCCGCCACTGTACCCGGCACCCGAGCAGCCGGGGCTCCTCCCGCTGCCGTACGGCCCGCCCGCGCCTCCCGCCGAACGGCGCAGCGGGGGCTGGCGTGGTGGCCGCCGTGGCGGTCAGCAGCAGCAGCCGCAGCAGGCCGGCTAGCCCCGTCAGCAACAGCAATAGCAGCTCCAGGTGCCTCCCCCATGGGCTTCCGGCTACAACCCATGGACCGGTGTCGTCCATGCGTACACCATGCCGGTTCCATGGGCTCCTGCACAGACGCTTCCCGTGCCGCGCCCACCAGCGCATCAGGCGTACTACGCGGCTCCGCAACCCTATGGAGGGTACCCACCGCCGCAGCTGAGCGGCGGCTATGGCATCCCTATGGTGCCGCCGTCCCCCTCGCCAGCCGTGCCGCTGACGCCTTGGGATCTGGCGCTCCTCGCCGCGCTGCACACCGCCCCTACGCCGAACAACTACACTGGAGGCGGTGATTGGTACATGGACATCGGGGCCACGTCTCACATGTTTGCTCATTCTGGTAATCTTGCCTTCTTCACTCCCGTCACCACTGACCGCCGCATCATTGTCGGCGATGGCTCCACACTTCCCATCACACACGCCGGGCACACTTCTTTTCCTTCTAATTCCATGCACATATCTTTGTCTAACATACTTGTGTCTCCTCATCTTATTAAGAATCTTATTTCCGTTCGTTGTTTAACTCGTGAAAATCCTGTCACTGTTGAATTTGACGAGCTTGGTTTTTGTGTTAAGGACGCTCGAACCAGGATGGTACTCCACCGATGTGACAGCCCCGACGAGCTCTGTCCGATGCATTCGCCTTCATCCACCACCACCACCACACCAGTTGCTCTCTCCACTGGCGTCAATCTCTGGCACGCTCGTTTGGGTTATCCCAACCCCGTCACACTTCGTCATATTCTTAGGAGTTTCAGTTTCAGCTGTAATAAGATAGAGGATCACACTTGTCATGCCTGTCGTGTCGGCAAACATGTTCGCCTCCCGTTTAATAACTCCACCACCATTGCTTCTTTTCCCTTTCAGTTGATTCATAGCGATGTGTGGACCTCTCCGGTTCCTAGTAATTCGGGCTTTTTATATTATCTGGTTATCCTTGATGATTATTCTCATTATGTGTGGACTTTTCCTTTG